GTAGCCAAAGCAGGTTTTGAATATTACAATCCCTTATTATTATAGGTGATTCTGATTATGGCTCAGAAGATCAGAACATGGACTGTAAGAGTCAAGCTTAGAAGGTTTCAGCTGCAGACAAGGAATCTATTGGCACTTGGACAAAAGGCCATGTGTACTACACTATAGTAAAGACCAAAAAAATCTACATTTTGCTCAATTCCAAGATTTAGGGATTAAGACTGAAAACAGTGCTCTACTGATCTGGAAAAGGAAATTCAAAGCAGTTTAATACTTAGGCTGTGACATGGCTACTGCTGGCTGTTTTTAGTGAGATTTAGTGAGGATTTGGGTCAAAACACAGAGCAGAAAATCTTAAATTTATGACACAAAAGAAACTATGTGAAAAATTGGGGCCAAATGAACTGAAACTGCTAAAGAGAATGGGACCACTACAGAGAAAGCAAGCACTTTGTAAAGGGACAAGTACAGAGATCCTTTGAGGGCATCTTAAGAATCAGCAAGACCTTACATTTCAGGTCAAGGTAGCAAACGTCTAAATCTTCCTTTGCAAAGAGAGATTGTGCTACCTTTGCTCAGGAAGGGCCTTCTAGGGGATTAGTACTCCAGGATTCATTTCACTATGCTGAGTGCTTCAGGCATTTACAGATTGTTGCTGCAACCACAGTCCAAAGAATATAACTCCTCCTATTTCTAACAGTGGAATTTGATTTAATCCACATTACAATAGTTTTAAAGGTACAAAGAATGCAACAGTTGTGGGGTCAGGGACATTTCTACTCAAATTTCAAAGAAAAGTCTGTGGGGCCAGGCAAGAACCTCCTGAAAGAGCAGAACATAAAGCTGGAGCATGACGTCAAACGTGTAGTGAGGACATTCAAAGCTGCCAGGAAATGGAGAATGTCTGCCAATGAAAGAGGCAGGCCAAGAGTGGAGCCTCCCAAAGACAGTCATGTGAGGTGAACTGGTGCCAAGTTGATGAGGGATAAAATGTGAGGGTTAAAATTGATGGTGTTAGCTTAATTGTCTTGGGAGCCACCAGGAAAAAGAGGACACTTGTGGATACGTCTGGGTGGCTCATGGAGGCACCACTTGTGTATTGTATCTGTCCCCTTGCCTACCCTTCCATTCTTCTCTGGGGCTCCACCTTTGCTCTGCTTCCATACTGTCCTTTTTTTCTCTGCCCTGCCCTTCCACACAATGTTTCTGCCTTGGAGTCAGCCAACCATAGACTTGATCCCCTGCACCAAATTAAAGCTCTTTCTTTAAGTTGTGGGTGTCAGGTACTGGGTGTACAGTTGTTATTCCTTTACTCTTGACATTTTAAGTTTTCTCTAGTAATTTGTTCTTGTTTTCTGAGACCTGAAAAACTTTCTTGAGCATTTCTTTTAGAGCCAGACTTGTGGTGATAAACACTCCATTGATGAAAATAAGGAATTTAAGTGAGGGAACAGATTTTGCAAGAAAATTAAAATTTACTTTGAGTTTCCATAAAAAAAAAACTGTTCATTCAACTCATAATCATTTTTATCTTGCCTATATTTATCCCAGATAATGTGAAAATATTCACTTGAAAACTAAAATATTCAGTTTATTGTGCCGTAAAGCAAATAAGATCATTTGTGAAATACTTGTCTACTTAATCACATGGAAAAAAATTTGATTCCTGTTTTTTTTCTGGCTTCTCCATGCCCTAAACTTGACATGCACTGAGTTTCAACAGTTATCCTGTGACCACAAAATAACAAACATGAGGATAATGTAAAAAAATAAACCTAACTCACTTAGTTCTTAACTTTCACATTGTTGGAGTTAATCTATACTATAACCGTCTCTTTCCTCTTTGTTTTGAATCATTTTAGAAAACTTGACTAATTGTTTGTATTCAAATGCACTTGAAGCCCTATCTCATGAGAATAAGCGATTCTAAAGGAAACATACAGAAGATACAGGTTTGGCTTCGCATCTATGTCTCTCCACCCCAACTACCACCAACCAGGACTTCATGAGACAGAAACCATCAATTCTCATTGGTTGTAACTCTGCTCCAGTGCAGCCATTGCCAAGTACGATAATCAGCATTGACCTGGGACTTGTAATTCCTAAATGCTAGTCATGTTCTTAAACTTGGTCTTGTTCTCATCACACACACACACACACACACACTTTCTGAGGCCCTTTTAATTTAGGTTCTATCTTCAATGATATCCATCCAACATCTCTGAAGGAAGCCCAGAATCAAGCCTACTTCCTTCTATGATTCTGATGATTAACTAGGCTTTGTTTGTTAGGAGCAAATCTTAACTTCACTAGTGAGAAGTGTAACGCTCGCTTGGAAATGTAATGCTCACTTGGAAATGTAATGCTCTTTAGTTCCACAATTTTTCACATTCTCATCATTTACAAAACAAAACTACATCCAAGTCCCAAGGACATCCTATAATGCTTTATACTTTGCCTCCATTATTATCTTTATACTGTTGTGTTTCCATTTCAGAAGTTTAAATATTTTATTTGAAAAAGAAAGACTCTCACTGTACCCTCCACATCAAAGAACAACACATCAGATGATCTTATCTAAATTTTGGGTTTTTTCCAAAATTTAGGTTCAAGAACAACTTCCTTTGCAGGTTTTCTAGTAGGTTGGGCCTTTGCTAATGTACCATAAAGCACAAAATCTAAAATCAAGGTTACCATTCATCTAAATCCCTGTATTTTATCTGTGTAATTATTTATCCTCCCATGTGTAAAATACCTAAATTCATGCATTCATCTTCTCATTCTATCACCCATGTATGTATAACATCTTTGAAGACTTCAGTATTGAATTTCAAAGTCCTCCTTAATGTCTCAAACTTTGTCATGTTGTATGGATTTAACACCCAGATGAAAGTCATAGTACAAAGAAAGAGCCTTGAAATATATTGATGACTGTCATCTTCAGTGAATTTCATTTCCATACCACCTCAAATACATTACGATTATAATGATGTCTAGAACAATTGCCTTGCAAACTGCAGACTTTAATTTTTTTTTCAGTTTGACCACAAATTTCCCTTGAATATTCAAATTCTGATCCACTTCCACAAGAGATCTACCAATGATTTTTTTTTCTCCTATACTCCTATACGTCTTCAATGTACTTACAACAAAATCTGACATTTCTCTTCTAAATATTTATTATGGCTCATCAACCTTGGCCTCTGTCTTACTATGTGGATCCAGGTAATTTGAGAAATGACTTTGGTTCCCAGATCCAATGACAGAAATGAGAATCTAAAATGAGAATATTGTCTCATTACAGGAAATCTCCACTTCCAAGTACTTCCCAGGAATGTTCTTTTGTCAAATTGTAGTGTAAATAGTTTTGATGGCAATAGCCCAACAGTGAGGGAAATCTAGCCAATAGTTGATTTCATTGACTATTTCTCTTTTGTGGATGATTAGCTAGACTAGGCAACGAATAGGGCTAGTTGGAAATCATTTTGTTTGGCAGATTCAAATTTCTGCATAAACTATGTATTTGAGATATCAAAGATACTGTTGAAATGATTAGGGTTAGGAACTAAATTAAATGCTTGATCAAAAATCAAGTGTAAACTGGCTGTGCTCTGGATCCAAGATTATTACACAAGGTAAAAGGAGAGAGAAGACGAGAAGACATTTGAACATAAGCAGTTGGCAGTTTAGACTTTTTACCTGCAGTTACTATATGTTCAACACTGACACATGACATCCCTACTGATGAAGATAACTAAAAATGTTATTTTCCTTTAGTGAAAAGGGATAGCGGTTGATACCATAAATATTTACTTCCTAAAGTGGAAGAATTGTGGAATTTGTGCCTCCAAAATTCTTACTGTGATTCACCTGTATTTAAATTTCTCTTACAGTTATTTCTTACCTGATATATACCAAGCACTAGTAATAGAAAAAGAAAACCACCCTTTGTATCCCACTGGTAGCAGGGGCTATTACTAGCTATTAGAAAATCCTACCTTGGAGGCGAGAGAAATACATACATATGAGCTCTAAAAATAGCAGCAAGAACATTTATTGAAATTCCTTGCAGAATGCAGTCATGGAGCACTTTCTTTTTATTAGGGACATAGAGTATCTCTTTTGGTCTCATAATATTAATTATCAAAAACACTGTATCTTTTACCAAACTAGAACTTGAAAATTCACTCTCATTTAAAAAAAAAAAAAAAAAGCTACTACGGTTTATGTATGGTGTTAGTGTGTCCCTAACGAGTTCATGTGTTGGAAGCTTGGTCCTCAAAGTGACAATGTTAAGAGGAGATGGAACTTTAAAGAGATTCAGTTTAGTGAGATCTCTCCACCACTCCCCTTCCTCTTTCTTCAGTAATGTTATCCACTATGATGGGAATCTGCCCTGAAGCTCTCACCAGAGCCAAAAAAATGCTGGTAACATGCACTTAAACCTCCAGAACTCTGAAGTAATTAAGCCTCTTTTTACTATAAACCATCCAGTAGTCTCAAGTATTTTGTACTAAAAAAAAATATATTTTTAGAGCTGAATTATGTGGCTTATCTATATATCTCAGTAATTCTAAATAAAAATAGATTATAACTAATAACTCAATATTTATTTTGTATTTTGAAGCATAATCATAATCAAACCAATTTTCCAAGACACTTGTATGTCAGTGGAGACCAGTTTTCTACCAGTCCCCTGGAAAGTACAGAGCTTTCTTGTTAACATTTAACTATCCAGTGAAAAATAGCTATGAGATTTCAAATCTGAAAGTATATTATCCTATTCTACTCTTTGTAGCATCACAGTCTATGAAAAATAGCCTCACCTCACTTCTAGCATTAATCCAATCACTGCTCTACAACACACTAAAACAGTGGAAACTATCCCAGCACTGAAATAACAGGCAAAAGCAGAGAGCAGATCAAAATTATTACAGTTCCTAAATTGCATCAAATTTATTTTATACAGTAAGGATCAAAATGAGGGAATACATTCTTACCGTCTGCAGCCAAGCAGCCTGAACTGAAAGATATGTCATCGATAGCTATGACTTCATTCTGTTCATGGGTGGCAATCATTTGACCTTGAAAGACAACCTGACAAGGAAAGCAAACACACACACACACACAGACACACAGACACACACACACACACACACACACACACACACAGCAAGCAACATCACTGTTAGCACAATGCTTTTGAAAAGAGCCTACAAAAACGAAACATCTAAGAAGCACATGGTAACAACACTGATTGCAAGGAAAAGAAATCAATGCAAGTGTGTCTCAAGGACAAGGAAATGTAAGGTCATCACTTTTCATAGTTGACATGGGTTTGGTAGTATATTTATGAAAGGAAACTATTTATCTAGTTCCAGTCCAACAACTACTTTCTGTTTCATTCTGATGTATTCAGGTATTTGACATTTATCTGCTTTAGAACACAGGCTTCATTTTGATCTTTAGTTCTTGGCACTTTGCAGTCATGTTCTGCCTCTGGTTCTCTAAATTTTATTGTCTTACCTTGGATGTCCCTGCGTCCTCTTTTTATACATTTTCTGCCACTATCTGAACATAGTTTGGGTTAGTGACTACGGTTGGGTTGTTCAGGAACTTATTGTAAAAGTTACTGAACGGTACACTGTGTGGAGTTGGGTCTGCCAAACAAAATGATCTCTATCCAGCCCACGTCTGTACCAAGAAAAAATATCTTCTTGTGATTAATCTGAGAAACTTAGAAAAAAACCACTCTCCAAATTCTAATTACTTAAATCAACAGAAATGAGTATTGGGGGAGTTTTACCCTACCCTGACTAATGAACACCAAGGACGTGGTGGCTTCCCCCTTGGATACATTGAACAGGGATGCATTATTCAAACTTGTAATATGAATTATTTTTACTGTAGAAAATCAGCACTGCTTCTTAGGTTAACAACTGATCTACATACAGGGAGCTGTAGTGGATCATTTGTTGAGTTACATTTACGTTTGTCCCTGTATAGAATGTTGTACTAATGTATTTTCTTCCAAGCTATGTACTATCTACTACTCTATTATAAACCCAATGAGAAGGATCTACAACCTATAGAGAAATCTGTCTAAATATAGATCTAAGGAAGTCATGTTTTCCTCACACAAAACAATAACTACCTCTCTATTCTGAATGCAGGACCATGTTGGAAAGACTGTTGAACATTTTTATGGAGATAACTTCATATAGCAGCAGTATGACATAGTGATTTAAAGTGAGAAATTACTTGCATATAAAGCTTAGCTATAGCCCTGTTAGCAACAGAATCTTGAGGAACTTGCTTGACATCTCTGTCCCTGTTGTCCTCTTTGTAACTGGTAATAAATAAAAATAATAACCCATGTGATAATAACTTTTATTCAAGAAAAAATGACTTGCAACATTAACAGTACTCAGTATATAATTACTATTAAATAAATGTTAGCTACTATTATTTTAATATAATTAAGACATTCAGGTTATTATATGAATTGTGTATTTGTGCTCAAATTTGAATAGTCTGTACAAATTAATATTTTGTTTTCAGAAATCTTTTTCACAAAGATAAATTTTCTGGTCTTGTTGTTAGGTAAATCCACGCAGTGACCATATTTAAAGAGAATAGCAGTAATAACTCCATCACCTTCATCATGTTCTTTTTATTCCTCTCTGCTCTCTACCTCCAAAAAGATCTCATATGTTCTCAGGGTTTTAACTGTTACCAAGGCTGAAGAAACACAAATTTACATCATAAATGTTCCTATCTCTCCTGAGCTCTGCTCCTGTATCTTGGCCACCTGCTGGACATTTTCACACAGACGACAGGAGTCACTTCTAATTCAAAATATGCTGTTTGTTTCGCCCCAAGTTGAATTCACCTGCTCATTTTCTGGCAGTGGTACCAAAGGACTGTTACTTGCCAGTGTTCAACACCCAAAATGCCCTCTAAAATGAGTGTTTCCTCAATCTTATGTCCCATCAGCCAAGACACACGGAGCCTATCTTCCCTCCATTCTTGTCTATACCCCATTATCTTCAAGTCTGCTCTACTGACACATCTTTTAAATTACCTGCTTGCCTTAACCCTCTCCTCAGTGAGTTTGAAATTCACATTATATGTTTATTCGATTAGATAAATTATATGCTAACAGAATAGCTGAAGAAGAATTATTGTGAAAATGGGCTGCCATCTGAGCAGGGGAAAGATTTTTCTTAGGGGAAGAACTATAGACATCATTAAGTTGATTTAAACAAAAACTATTTTTTCAGGGGTTTTGGTTAGAATCTAAGAAAACAACTAAGAAAAATAGACTCCAACATGATGAAAGGAGCCATGAAAGCCACGGTCAGAGGTCGTGCTGGTGCACAGTAGTGCCTTTCTAAGTAATATCTAACTCCTTTGTTTCCTCCAAAACTTTGGCAAAGATATTTTTTTTTCTAAAGATATGCTTCATTTTGGTTGCTTTAAGAGAAATTGTTAAAAGAGGTAAAGAGGCACCATAAAGGAGAGAGAAAGGGAGATCAAAAGGGAAGTAACTGAGACTGGAGCTTGGCTATTGGAGAGTATGGCTTGTAATGTGGGACAAATTTCTTCTCCACAGACATTTCTTAAAAGTGACTTCTAAACAGAGACAAGGATTCAGTTCTCACCAGACACAGGCGGCTTTCTCAAAAGTACATGCTAAGCTGGAACTAGCTGGGAATGAAATAGCATATTTAGATATTTCTAAAGGAAGCGCATATACATGACTTTAAGCTACCAAAAGTGAGCATGGAGAGAAAACTGAAAAAAAAAAAAAGGAGTAATTCACAGTGGCTCATAAGTTGATGAGGCAGCAGACACAGTATGGAGACATTGATTACAAAATCCTCACAAATAAGCCTCGTACAAAAACTTTTCAAGAACAAGATATGAGACAGTGGTAGGCTATACTGCAAACACAGCACATCTCAAAGGCCCACCAAACAAAAGCAAATGAACATCTGTTCACTTGCTATCAGGATAGAATTGAAATACACCTGTAGTCTTAAAAGATTGGTACACTCAGAGAATCCTGAGAGTTATACAATCCAGTAAGTTTTACAAAGCTTTCAAGGAAAAGCACGGTTTTCATATCGGCGATAAAGTATTTTTGAGAACAAATAAAGACAGTGCACATGCATCTGCTTTCCATGAAGCCACTATGTATTTAAAGGACTCAAGTGAAAAAGCTGCCACTTCAGTATAGCTGAGTAGCCTGGAGATGATGTATCCTGGAATTTTCTCTTTTATATGTATCTCCTGTGCATATGTAGTCATCAAACTCCATTGTACTTAGAAACAGGCAGCTAAAGAAAGCACCAAAGTTATTCTGAAAGTGTTAATCTGTAAGATCCAGCAGGTATCAACTTTGCTCAGCATTCAAATCTCCATTTCACTAAAGGAGATTTTCACCTTAAAGTTGAGATAAGTGGATACAAAAGGCACAAAACTTGGCAAAGATAGCTTAAGACTCTTTTACCATCAACTCTATTTAAAAGTTGAAAAAGATGTATAAATGATGAAAAAGTGTATAAGTAGGCAAGATTTTCCGCTCAGTCATCACAGAGAAGATAATTCAGCAGACGTTTTTACTGTCAGCAGAGTTGGGCTCAAAACCCACAAAAGCAACCTTCATTTTATTTTGTTTCTTTTGTTGTGGTGGTGGTAAAGAAAAGAAGGAATTAAGAAGAAAAGGATAAGAAATAAGTGAGAAACATCTCTAGGAGTTAATAGCACCCCAGTTTTCACAACAAACTAGCATTTTTGGTTCTCAGGGGAATTCATGGTCTCCAAAGCCACAACATGGTCAGGGCCCAGCCATATGTATTTTCTCCTCCCCACAAATATTACGTAACTTTTTTATAATAGTGCTGAGAACCTTTTCTGCTTTGTGCCTAATGTAGCCCACATACACCAAATATTTCCATTTTAAGTACAAAATTCATCATTTATAGAAAGACTTAAATTCCTGAAAGTTTAAGGCACCTCATCTCCTCCAAAAGACACATGTATATTTTTCAGTAGAGTACCAAGTATCAAACTATGGAATTGTGTTTCTGACCATATAATTCTTAAGTGTAGATGTCATTTAATCACCTACTAAATAGTTTTCAAATCTTTGGATATTCATTTATTTTAATAATGATTAATAATAAAAATTATAGTAATTTTATAATATGATTAAGAAAATGGGCATTCACATATGTTGTAATTCAACCTTTGACATAGAAAGTCTTTTATGTGTCCATCTTTTTCCTCTTATTCAAAATAGCTGAAGGAAAACTGAATCTAACTCATTCCCTGTATTTAAGTAAATGTCAAAATCATCCCATATGAGATGATTTGCATTGTACAAAAATTTATAAAATTATCATATCATTCTAATAATAAATGTTAAATGAAACCTACATAGACTAAGTTGACCCACAAATCAAGTTCAAAAACGAATTATTTAAAAATTAAATGTTTTACATTGAAGATGTTGGCACATACCATCCTAGCACTCTGGAAGGTTGAGGCAGGAGGATCTCAAGTTCAAACCCACACTGGGCAATGTAGTGATTTAGCAAGATTCTGTCTCATAAAGAAACATACACAAAAAGGGAATGGGGATGTATTACAGTGTGAGGGCCTTGGATCAAATCCTTAGTAAAACAAAAAAAGAAAAGAAAATGCTTTAAAATCTTATTTTTAATTGATAAATTTTATTTGGCTTTCTCAAATGTTAATCTATGCAACATTTTTCAAAGAACCCTTGTAATAATCATTATAGTTTCTACTATGCATAAGTTTTATTACGCTGCATAAAGAATTTGGATTTTTATAGGCTTTCAATGGGCTTAACTCTCAAAATTATTTAGGAAAATAAAAGCTGTGTTGAATAGAGCTTAACCAAGAGATGATTATGACAATTACTCTACTTCAACCGCATTTAGAATTAGCATTTAAGTCAAACAGTCTTTTTCCTCATTACCTAACCTTATCCTCTTTTCTCAAAAGCATTAAAAGTTCTGGAAAGAAAATGATTCTTAGAAAAAAGAAATGAAAAGAATGAGGAGATTAAAAATAAAGTTTCAAGAAATTGAGAAGAGAATTATAAGGTTATATTTTATATCACTATATCTTAAAATACATTGACTTCATCCTATAATTTCAAAATCTTAATGTAAAAGTGTCTTTTAGAGTGATTAGTCATCTTTTTTCTGAAACAGTCCACATTTAACATTTGGAAATCCTACAAAAGTCCCTGGCAAACTAAATGAGTCACTATTTCTATTTCATCTGTATTGAAAATCTGCTTCTTATCAATTTACCTTCAAAACAAAGTTGACATACCTGAAATCTCTCTGAGCTCTTGATTTTGATGACATTTCTTTGCCACTGATTTAGGAACCCAACTGTATTTTGCCACACATGCCGAATGGGACCACCGCGTCTAGTTTGAAGACCTGCTATCAGCTTGCCACTGATGTGGCTTAAGAAGTAATAAAAAGTAACCTGTGAAAAATAATTAGCATTCAAACAATTACAAAAAAGGAACCTCTAAATATGAGAAAGTATCAAAATGCTGTGAGCTTTCAAATACCTGACAAGCATGTGAGTCATTAGTGGAGAGGAAAACTCTGCTTCTTAGGGCTGAGGAAGTGCAATTTGCTCTGCACACCACAGAGAGGAAGTGGGCTGTGAGAAATGAGAGGCAACGGGTTAATTTAGCAGTGCTCCCTGGCAGATTTACTCAAGGCATCAGGGGGATTCAGCCACATACAGAGCAGGTTAATGTAACTCTTTTTAAAGAATTAAAAGTTCATCTGAGAGTGGTGATGCAAATCTGCGAACTCGGAACTCTGGGAAGCTCAGGCAGGAGGACTGGAAATTTGAATACTGTCTGGGTAACTAAGCAAGATCTTATCTCAAAATTTTAAAAAAGGGCTTGGTATGTATTTCAGAGTGAAGGCCCACTGAGTCCTATATTCATTCAATCCCCATTTCAAGAAGAAAAAATGTTAAACTATACTTTTTGTCTTACTAAATGGTTGATAGTTTAATTTCTTTATACTGCCTAGTGAAAAAAGTAATCATGATTATACATCAGTGTGGGCTGCAGCTCACAACCCAATTAATCATATCTGACATAGAAAGTGACAACCAGAAAAAATGAAAAAAATTATACTGCGATTGCTGACCAAAATAAGCACTTCATTGCAGAATTCAAAGGAGATCATTATTTAATGTGCTTTGGTGTTAAAAAAAATGGGGCTTAGTAGTCCCTGTGCTTTCCGGAACACAATACCACGTTGTTATGTTCTCTTGCTGAAGTACATATTATGCCAGCACAGACTGAGGACCCTGTAAAGTAAGTGTCACATGTTCCTTAGGCTTTCATAGATTCCTTGCAAGCTTTACGAGGGTTATATCATATGCCATTATGATCTGTTTTCTGCTACTGTGTTTGGTGGATTCCTATTTGTCAAAATGCATAAGAAATATAATTTTGATGGTGATTATGATGACAGGTTTATCCAAGTTACTTAGTGGCATTTTAAAGCCAGGTTGAAAATCAAATCTAATTGCCCTGTCACTGAAAGAATCAATAGTGAAACTATAAAGCTTAACCTCTTCTTTCCTATTCTTATTTCAATGCTGCACACCAATTAATCAAAAAAATTAGTAATACTAATCTTCTTACAGATATAGTCATAGGCATGATTGAAATCACTTGTGCTAAGAATGTACGCCCTAGAATTATTAAATAAACACAATTAAATGAAGAGTTGATGTCATGATGATACAAGTGGACAATCACTAGTTGCTCTTGTGGCACATAAACAAATGTTAAGCAAGTAAATAATGAAATAAGCATAAGGAATCAAAGGAATACACTTTTTTGAGCTTTAAATAATACTGTAGCAGTACAAATGATACTAGCATTCAATAGCCTTAAATTGCTTTTAATAAATAATCAGCTACCAAAATCATCCCTGAGATCTGTAGGAAAAAAATTTCCATCTGTCAAAGAAATTACTTAAATTAATCATGTTTATTAACAATTGTTTGTTCTTAAAATCAGACATGACATGTTGAGTTTTTAAATAATAAAGTAGCACTTGAAATAGAATTTCTCAAGGCATACAAGAATAAATTGTTTAAATATTTAAGCAGAACATTTTACAAGCATAAACTATGTCATTAGGCATGCATTATTATACTATATTCTGTATTTTGTCAACTATTAAACACAATCTTCAGGTTATAGCAGAAAGTAAAGTTTTACATTTGGAAACAGAGATTCTTGGATATTTGCTATAGTAATAAATGTTTTTCTTTACATGGGAAAAGTGTATTCAAAACGTACCCAATACCAATATCTGCCTTCTGCCTTTGGTTTCAACTTAGTGACAACAGCAAGATTTTTTGGATTGATTTTGTTCTCAATGTAACCTCACTTAACCTTATATTCATAGTATGGTATAGAAGTTGACTTACAAGTAGAGATGTTTCTCAAAGACCAGTCTCACCTCATATAAAGTTCATAGGATGTCAGTCATCATTTTCATTTATAAAACAAAGAAATAAATCTTCAACAGCATGACTCATCTTTCATTGAGAAGAGACCACGCCTATGCCACACACACATGCATGCACTGTTACTATCATTGTCACTATTATCTGTTAATCACTAAACCATACCCATTTCAGTTTTTATAGTTGACTCAGAAATCCCCACTGCATACCTGTATCTGTAAAAGCAAATATATAAATGCATAACAAATCTTTAAAACAGATTTTAAGTGATCTTATGGTAAAATATTAATTATTAAAATAAAATCAAAACACAAAAATTAAGATTTCATGAAGACTATTTTAACAGTTTATACTAGAGAGCCTTTGAAAGTATTTTCTCTTGGCAATTGGATAAATATTGAAGTCAAATCCCATCGTAAACCATGTTGGATGACCCAAAAGAGAATATATAAAATATGAAAACGACAAGAATCATGATCAAATTTTTGCAAATTAAATTTAATAACCTTGGCAATGAATTCTACCAACTCTGATCCTCAAGAAAAATAAGTAAAGATTTTCATTTTAATTTCACTCAATTATTGATAGGCAGCCTTCCATTTCCTTCATTTCCCAAATTGTGAGAGATTAATGGGGCTGAATTTGAGCAGGAAAAACATAAATCCTATTATATGTTACATTGTAACCAGTTGATTCAAAGGAACCGCAAGAAGGGATTATAATAGTGAGATGATATAAGTTCTCAAGAACACCTTCAGAAAAATATAGCTACAGGAATGGATCATAACAAGGTCCAAGGCTTGAGGCAAGGTTAGAGTATCAAATTTATAAAAATAAAAATGTGTTCACTCTTGACAGAAATATGGCTCAACTCAGATAACACAGAGAGAATAAGATAGAAACTCCCTGGAGTTCTAATTTTTATTTTTTTTTTTTTTACTAAATTCTGTTTCCATCAAATCTTGCTTTATTCTCATACTGCTCATTAAACCAACAAGGACTATGCACCAAGAACTATTTGTGAAAACACCAGCTAAAAGTTATCCTCAAATACCAATCCCTTAAAATTTTGACAGCAATAGCTATATGAATGCTCGTATATCACTTTATATCTGAATTCAGTGACAAAGGGTAAGTCAAGTCACCATGTAAGCTTATGAAACATAAAACACAAAGGTGATTTAATGGAAATAATAAAATGTGAAAATTTTCTCCATCATAAAAGCAATTTTAAAGATGGCAAAAATAGTTTGAATCAACATTTCCATGGCTCTAAAAAGTAATCAAATGTTGTAGCAATCTAGAGCTTTCAGCCAAGAAATGGCTGAATCTTTTAAGTATGTTTTATTATGTTTTAGCTTGCCCACATCTCATTATCTATCGTCTTGCTCCATAGTAACTTCAAATAATTGTATTCTGCTTTTCTATCCATGCTGGTAGCCACCAGAAGAAGCTAAATGGAGCTAGGGCTTTGCCAAAGTCTCGGGCCCAGTCATCTGTCATAATTTGACCTTTCTGACAGTTCTGACACACTCCACTTAAAATATTGTCTGAAACTGACCATTACAGCAGCTCTCTCAGTACAAAAAAATCTTTCTTCTATATAAAGGATTTATCAAAAAGCAACAAGGGGCAACATATTAACTTTACAAATACTTCATCAAGTATGTTAACGATTGGGCGAAACAAAAAACCAACCATAGAATTCACTGGAATGCTACATCGATACGGGCTTTGAAAGTTCCAAATTCAGTTCCAGAGTTTCAAATTCCAACAAGACGTGTGTATGTGTAAGACTGTGCGTAAGCTCTGAAAAGACCTGGAAAGCTTCTAAACACTCATCTCACGCTTGAGGCTGGATGAAAGCAGGAAATAGACAAAGGCAGAATTATCAGCTGACTGGGCACACACTGAAGGTGCGCCCAACATGTGGACAAGACAGCTGGAGCAAGCAAGGAGATATTTACTGGTTCTGCAGTACTGTGGTCTGTATGCTGGATTTGTCCTTCCCCAAAGCTATGTTAAAACCTAATCAGCATGAGGGTTAAGGAGATGAGAATTTGAGAAATGCTTAAATTATGAGAACAGAATCCTCACAAATGGGAAAGACATTCCCCAAACACTTGCCTTTCCCTTCTCACCATATAAACAAACAGAAGGTACTGTTCATAGGAGTGGGCCTTCACAGACACCCCCTGTACTGCTGCCTTGTTACTGGTCTTTCCAGCTTCTAGAGCTCTAAGAAAAGTTCTGTGGCTCATAAGCTACTCAGCTCACGTTCCAGATACCTGAAGTGACTAGGACACAGGCACTGAAGGAACTCTCTTTCACATCATTAAGCCAATGCAGTGACCAAATAGACTTTACAGAACTAGTTCAGGAAAGTCACTGATATAACTAACAAACAAAATAACCACACTAACAGTAATAACAACAAACTTGGATGAGGATAAAGGAACGTAAGATTTCCAGATTTGATATATTATTTTTATTGTAGTAAATGTACTAACAGGCAATGACTTCTTAAGTAGGTCTCTAACGACTTCAGAAATGATAACAAGAATCACCAAAGAGAACTGCATTGAATTAAAAAAAATAAAAGCTTCTGCATAGCAAAGAAAACAACAGAGTGAAGAGACAGTCTACAGAATGGAAGAGCATCCTTTGCAGCTACTCTTACTCCTCAGTACATATCCAAAGGAAACGAAATCATCTTATTCTAGGGTTATCTGTATATTGTAAATTGTGACACAATTCATAATAGCTCAGATATAGAATCAACCCAGGAGTACATCAATGGATAAATATAGAAAATGTAGTAAATACACAACGTGAACCATTATTCAGATATAAAGAATTAAATTATGTCATTATAGAAAAATAGGAAGTGGAGACATTCATGTTAAATAAAATAAACCAGACACAAAAAGAAAAGTGTCACACTTCTCTAATATGTAGAACCTAGAAAAAAAAAGTGACATGAATGTAGGAGAGAGACTATTAGATTAAAAAAAAAATATGAGCACAAGGGGCATCATACATAGGGGAGGCAAAAGAGAAGACATATATAATCAAAATATAATCAAAATCAAAATGCCACAGCAAATCTAGTATTTTATAAAAATTAATATGCACAAATAAAATATACATGCATAAGA